AACTCGAAATTTTGTTCGTACAAGATTAAATGGGTGCCTAAATCTGCGTTTTTGGATTTACAATGAATTGTCAGGTTCAGGTCAGGGCGTAAATTGTTGATGATACGTACATCCGCCCTCGGTAGAACACCGGCCTCAATCGTAGCACTGAGGAGGACAAGGAGCAGCAGCAGTTGCAGGAAGAGATACCTTCTGAGATGGCTCATCATGTTTGGGAATTTCTTTGGTAAGTGAAGATCTGGGTACGGTGTTTGCTAAAGGCAACTCATCATCCCATATATTAATTTTACCCACGCATATTGACGTATGAATTTTTGTACGTTCATTCTTAATTAATTTGTATCAGAAGCAATGCTTTTAGCCAGCCACATTGAATTGTTGTCATGTTTTGGATGAAAAATGGCGTCCATGCAGGCATGACTCATGCATCCTGTGGTAATTATCAAATAAAAATTAAACCATAAAATTATGTAAACACAAAATTAATTATCAAATAAAAATTTAACCATAAAAATTATGTAAACACAAAACTAATACATTTGTTGACGATCTTTAATAATGGTAAGACCTATGATTATATGTAGTCGCACTTATATTAGAAAGTGTGTATGTTAAATATACCAATTTTGTGTGTTCATTGAGTTGTTTGATATTTCGTTTTCAAGTTTTAAATTTTTTTAACTTTTTTTTTTTTTAACAAATATTTTTAACTTTTCTTTAAACAGATAGAAAAACTCAAGGGGCTGAAATGATAGAAAAACTCGATATCATTCTCCATCTCCCTACTGAAATTATAGAACTCCATTACTTCAACCACGCATTGTTGATCTAGATTTTTGCTGGGGCCATCTTCTTGCACCATGTCCTCCAAGGGCTGATCAACATCAAGCTTCTAACATTTGGTGAGGTTACCGTGTAATCTATAGTCACTTCGCGTTTCTTTTTTTTTATTATTTCCCTGTGTCTAAGCTTTGGCCATCGCCCTTGTCAAATAGACATTCCTTTTCGTTCCCAAATGCTCCCCTAAGAAGTGAATACCACTTCGTCATTATCATCATCAGAACCATCTTCTTCATACCCCTTCGATAGTGATTCTCCCAACAAATCAAGATGCTGTTCAAATAACTATAGGAATGCCCCAATCAATTGTCTCATCCCCCAACTCCAAACCCTTTACTTTTTCTTCCATTTTCGGATTCACCAAATCAATGCCCTTCTCTCTGACCTCACCATCTTTCTCTCCCACTTCCTGACTTTCTTCCATCGGAATCTTAATCATTCCTTCTTCCTCCTCTGCTTATGCCTCTGTTTATTCCTCACTTTCTCCCTTGTTCACTTCCATACTTTCAACATGCCTCCTTTCTTACTAACCTTCATCCTCGCTTCTTATTCTTTTTCCATGCACTTCTTAATCGCTTTTGTCTTACCTCCTTCTCTTACTTCTTCCACGACAGCAGACAACTCATCGATCCTTCTCCACATTTTCCTCTCCTATTTGTCCTCATTTGCCATTCGAGCCAAAGAAATCTTCAACTGATTTATCTCCAGTTTTAACTGACCAACATCATTCGTGTTGGGGGTTAGTTTGTCGTGCATAAGAATATTCCCGTCATCCTACGCGTCCATTAGGCTTGCTTCTTCTTCACCTCAGTTGGCAAAATGTGCCGAATTCTCACATGTTTTCAATTAATATAAAAGCCATCAGAATATAATCTCTCCACTCATAATCGTACTTAAACATTCATAAACCACTCATACACCTTCATACAGAGTCATACCTCCCTGCTCTCGGTGAAATACATCTTGAGCTGCTCAAAAATGGGCTGCTTCTTGTTTGTTTTCCACCGCATAGACATATCTCCCTGCTCTCGATGATGTACATCTTGAGCTGCCAAAAAGTTTGGCTGCTTCTTGGTTGTTTTCGACCAGAGAATTTGCGGGCTGACTTCCGGATCAGTCATCTTAGCATAACGTAAGGACTTCTCTAATTGTGGAATTTTTTTCGTATACCCACACCTGCACATCTCAATCACAATATTAACTATTGACCACAACACGACCAGTCTGCATAGTAAAAATTGCGATTAAAAAATTGGAAAAACTATATAATTGGGCCATAGGTTTCTATTCACCAAAACACGGCCCTACTTTTTGGTGATGGTGGCATTTCAACGGGGCATCAAATTTGGTGGGAGACTTCAGTTTCCAGATTCGGGGTTTTTTTGTAAAGTTACTGTTGTGAAGAGGAAGACAAATACTATTATATTTAGCACATACAAGCATATATTATATATAGCCATAATACATGACATGCATATTATGATGAAATAAGGGATAAACACATTAGAACTTTGAGGTCATAAGATATTTTGAAAATTAAAATTGACGTTTTGTACTTTTAAGAAGAGGTCAGTGAAGAATATCTTAGCGACATTGAGTTTTGTTGAAGAGAAGAAAATTATTTTGTTGACTTCAGTTGAAGAGGAGGATTACTTCAATTTATGTAATGCTAGACAAAGAAATGATCTTTGATCTAGGGAAAATATGTAATTGTTTATTTACCTACACTAAATTAAGTAATGAAAGAAATTGAAAGAAAAATTGATGTCCTTATTAGGATTTGTATTATCAATTTGATGATATTCTTCTTGAATTGACTAGCCATAGTGACCTATCAACTCATTACAAATATAAATTTTATTTTTTTTAAGAAAATTTAAAGGAAAATAATGAAAAAAGAAAAGCCAAACTAAGTTCAGTCTGCAAAACTTTGAGGTCAAATGAACCCAGGCCATATATGTTGTTTTTAACTTGTCCCTGATTACATATGTATAATTGCATCAAGTACAAGAAGATTTGAGCTTGGGTAAGCATATGTAGCTTTCAGTTTTCATGAATATGTTTGGGCATAACTTTGGTGGTTTTTCCCAGGTATACACTATGTCACGGTCCTTTTGAGTTCCTTCTTTTAAGCCATGCATGTCGTCTGTGTAAGCTATCCAATTGCACTGGTACGGACATGTATACTCATCCCGCATGGCTACAAATATGTCAAAAGCTCCGATCCTTCTTGCCAACTCAATCCGCAGAAGAAAAGTGTTGTTTCCCAGAAATTAACGTGGAAGCTCGACTGGTAGTTACTCTGGTACGGTATGACATGAGTTCCAAGATCGTCATTCTTGGATTTGCAGTGGATAGTAAGGTCTAGCCCTGGACCTAAGTTGTTGTAAATCCAGACCACTGTTTTCTCCAGATGTATGCCGTCATGAGGTTCTCTTAATGTTCCCAAGCTCGCTTTTGTGCTAATCACAATTGCAGGTCCCTCCCATGTAGCAATGAACAAGGCAGTAAGCAACAAGGCTGAATTGCGAAATAGAGCCATGTTCTACTGGATTCTTCGGATTAACCGATGCATGGAGCATCCTCGTATTTTAAATCTAATAAACTCTGGCAAACAAAAACAAAGAAAAAAGTCTAATAATGAAGACAATGGTAATAAATTGTGATATAAAGAAAAAGATAAGATGCTTTTATTGAAAGAGCATTATCTGCAACGTCCGGGTTTTTTCTTATAACTGCTTCTGTCTTTTTTGGTAGCTTAGTGTGTTTTTCTTTTTAGCAAACAAGAATAATGTAGTCTCTTATCATTACTCAAAAGTTAATTACAACAACAAAACCAACTAGCCAAATTAACTGTGTAGAAAATATTAGGAGACCATACTTTCAAACCATATTTTATGAAGCACATAATATGGTGGTTGATGGTTGAATACTTTTTTTTAATGATTTAAATAATGAATTCAACCAACAACTGCTATATCATGTCATATACAAAATATGGTTCAAATAGATGGTCTCTTTAGCATTACCCTAACTGTATTAGACATTATTCTCGGATTAATTTTATGCCAATACCAGAAATTTAGTAATGAATGTTTACAATACAAAAATATTCTTTTTGTTTTTTGACCCGAAGGGATAGTGCTATCCCATTAAAATTTAAGACATGGTTACAACACAATTACAGAAATGGTGCCAAACTAGGTGTATTTGTCCATTGACCAAAACCTTGATCTTGAGAGAGTAAAGCACAACAAACTAGTAAATTCCCTGTATAGCCACCACCAATGGCGGAGCCAGGAATTTAAGACAATGGGATCAAAAAATAGCTTTCAAAAATCGATGCACTTTGGAAACGTCGTATTACAACATCATTATTAATAGAATCATATACCTCTTTCTCAATCTACACAACCAAACTATCATTCAACCATTGATCACCCATCCTATTACGATGTAGATTCTTCATAATTTTCATCACCGAAAAAAATCTTTCAACTAAAGCAATTGCAACAGGTAAAATCAATGCTAATTTCACTAGCAAGTACACCAAGGGATATTGTCTATCCCTCTTTGTCTCCACCACCTTTGGTGCAAGGCTATTAATTCCTTTCAATGCTGAAAATTCATTATGCAAACGCATATCAAAAATATAATTCTTCAGTTCATCTTCAAGAAGTGTGAGCTCCGTATCAGAAAAATGTTTTGGATCAAATTGAGCAAGTCAAACTAACTTTTCAATGTCAAAAGCTGAGAATGTGTCATCTGGGCTTAAGCATGCTACACAAAGAAGCAACTTTGTACTTGTCTAATTAAAACGACTGTTCAACTCTTGAAGTTGCTTGTCAATAACATCAATAAAGAGATCAACATGGTAGTGATGAAGGTTTGTCAAATTTTCAACTCTACGCCGTGACCTCCCTCAAGCTACAAGGATATCATTCATATCAGGAATATCAATATCATACTTTCCACAAAAAGAAGAAACTTTATCAAGCCAAGCATCTCATCCATTATCCCTCATTACTTGTAGTTGTTGCTTACATGCTTTGACTAAAGCCATAGCACTCACTATATCAAGATCTTTCTTTTGCAATGCATATGACAACACATTTGTGATTCCCAATATTTCTTTCATCAGAAAAAGACTAGAGACAAAATCATTGCAAAAGATTCAACAAAATATCTGCTTCACCTCTTTGATCAAGACTTACACCATCATCTACAATCATCTCAAGCACCTCAATTACAAAAGAGAACATATTAATCAAGCTTACCAAGGTACTATAGTGTGAGCCCCAACGTGTATCACTTGCACGTTTAAGACAAGTTTCTTGGTTCAAGCCTTGCCCACTTGGAAGCTCATAATTTTGAATAGCTTCCATAACTTTGGCTTGTTGTCTTTCTCTAACCATGTCTTGACGTTTACATGATGCTCCAACAATAGTAACAACATTATTAACCAAGCAGAAAAAAAAGCCAATTTGAGTATGATTTTTTGACACGGCTACAAGAGCAAGTTGAAGTTGATGTGCAAAGCAATGAATATAAAATGCACTTTCATTTTCTTTCAAAATAAGTGTCTTAAGGCCATTAAACTCCCCTTGCATATTGCCAGCCCCATCATAATCTTGTCCTTGCAATCTAGATATGCTTAATCCATTTATAGAGAAAAACTGATCAATTGCCTCTTTAAGTGAAAAAACAGTGGTATTACGAATATGCTTTATGCCCATAAATCTTTCAACTACTTGTCCGTTGGTATTCACATAGCGAAGTACAACTGCCATTTGCTCCTTGACTGATATATCACGCGATTCATCAACCAAAACAAAAAAGAAAACATCATCACCAATATCAAACATGATAGCATTAGTGGTTTCACATGTTGCTGCATACACAAGATCTTTTTGAATTTCAGGTGATGTTAACTTGAGATTTTCGGGAGCATTTTTAAACACCACATCTTTAATACCCTCATTATGATCTGCAAGAAACTTCAAAAGCTCAAGAAAATTACCCTTATTGCTTGAATCTTCACTTTCATCTTGACCGTGAAAAGCAAGACCTTGTCGCAATAAAATGTGAATGCAATCAATTGATGCATTCAAACGAGTGCGATAATCAATACATGCTTGATCCGACTGCTTGTGGACAATTGTTTTAATATGTTGATTCTGATTCATTAGAGCTTCACAATGAAGTAAAGCTTGGTTGTGAGCATTATTAGGACCTCCAACATGAACTCAAAGTCGACATATTTTCTTCCAACTATGAAACCCTTTGCTAGTAAAATTGTCATTACCGGCTTGCTCCAGAATCTCTAGCTTGAAGAAATAACAGCTTCGACAAAAAAACATCATTTTTGGATATGCTATACTCCAACCAAGTAGGAAAATCATCGAACCATTTCGGATTGAAACGGCGTTGTACTCCTACAAATGATGTATATGGAAATTGATGGGTTCGAGGTTAAACCAATTCCCTTTGTAAATAAGCTCTTCGGACTTGATCTCTAATATTCGGAGTTGAAGCCCAGGATCTCTTGGACGATTTGCCAGTATACTTTCTATGTTATTTTCATTTAAACTTTCAGGAATATCCGTTGTAGAGGGTGAGAGGTTATCTTCGGTTGATTTTCTCTTAAAATACCTCTCCATAACTGTTTTAAATAATACCAAAAAGAGTCAACAACATAATATAAATTTGATCAAATTAACAGAAGCAAAGTTCATATAATCGTAGACCAATACAAACCCGACAAACCTTAAGATAAACCCCACAATTAATCTGCATAATCAGTTTGCAATATCAATTCGCAGCATCAGTTTGCAGCATCACTCTACAGAATCAGTTTCCTACATGCCATGTTGACTTCAAGTACTATCGGTGATCTCTATTCACTGTTGCGAGATGAGTCTGAGACAACTGGCAAGCAAGATGTGAGCTATGCACATTCACTAACCTTGATTTCTAGGAAGGTTAGTGTTTGCAACTCAACTTTGCCAAGCATCTTGTGATCGATGAGTTTATGCAACCCAACTTGGTTTGCCAAGCATCTTGTGCATCTTGTGATCGATGAGTTTTTGCAACCCAACTTTGCCAAGCATCTTGTGGTCGATGTTCAGATAAATGACTGAATGCCAACCTATATAAGTGAAAATAACTGCACTGCTTATCATGTCAAACCACTAGTACAAACTTCGAAGTGATAAGAACATAATCATATAAATCAGAGTAGTAGAAATTCAAAATATATATATCAAAAAATGAAAATTCTTGGTATTCCTGTCCAAAATTCTATCTATTTCGTCTCAAGCCATGTGGAATGTTTAATTGGAACAGGGATATAGCGAAGCCCAACGGAAACAATGTTTGGAGGAATACGCAAACATAAATGTGTGGCAGATCAATTCCCTTTCTTTTGACATCCGATTTATTGATGCCATTTGAAAGATGAGTGAGTGAGAAACCACTCAACTCGGCTTCTGTTCAAGGTAGTTGCAGCTTTTCTTAGGACGGTGGCATGGGTTACTTTATCAACCGTAACAGTAGCACCATCTGCTAAGATTTGTCCCTTTTTCTGTTACATTTACTGCTCGAACCAAAGATTTATTTAATGTTGTATTCTACTTCGGACTGTTTAGAGCTTAGCTTGAGTAGATTATTTGACATGGCATGCTCCATAGTTGCACAATTGTATTGGGAGTATGATTAGATCAATTAGCACTATTGACTAACTGAAATGGATGGAGCCGAATTTGTGCTACTCGTTTGTATTTTAGTATGGATACTTTTTATTGACTAACTATGTATTGCTAGGAAGACTTTCAAAAGTGAAGCTCTCATAGACTTTCCATCACATCATGTTTTTGGCATAATTATCAAGCGAATATTATAAAATAGTGTGCGAGAGACTTGAGTTACTATACTCCTTTCTCCTTATATCTAGAAAGAGCTCCTGAACGAATCCGTAAGAGATGGACAAGGAGTATGATTGGAGTTGATTTTTTGAAAGGAAAACTAATGAAAATGGCTTGAGAACTTTGAGTTTTAATGATAAGGACAAAATAAAGGGTAAAGTGAATAGTACCAGGATTGACTTTTTAGTGTAAAAATGTGATTTTTCGTTAAATTGAACAATACCGTAGGCTTTTCGTTAAAACTCTCTTTTTTGAAATCCTCCTTAAATTCTAGGATAAAATACAAAAAACTACCTCAACTATTAGTGTCACAACACTTTCATACCTCATCTTACGAATTTGTGCCAATGTTATACCTTCCGTTAGCCTGCCGTTAATTTGTTAGTTAAATGCTGACGTGGCTTGATCCAGACCCCACTTTCTATTAAAAAATTAAAAAAATATTAAAAAAATCATTTAATATATTTAAATATTTAAATAATAAAGAAAAGTTAAAAAACAAAAAAAATCAAAAAATCAAAAAAATCAAAACCTTTCGTCCCATCCATCCCCCTCCCTCCTCTCTCTCTCTCCCCATCTTCTTCCCTGCGTGATTCAACCAAAAAAAAAAAATATATATATATATATATATATTTGAAAACCCATCAACCACCAACCCCTCGAAGAAGAAAAAGGAAGGAGGAGAAGAAGAAGAAGAAAAAAATAAAAATAAAAAAACCCAACCCAGTTCAAGGGTGGGTGCGGAAGGTGGATGCGAGGGGAAGACGAACTAGGATTTTTTTTTTTGGTTGCAAGTAGGGGCTCGGGTGGGGGAGGGGGAGAAGAGGGGGTGGGGGGATGGGGAAGAAGAAGGAAGGACGCAGGGGGGATGGGAGGAAGGGATGAAGTTTTTTTTTTTTTTTTTTCCTTTTGTTTTCTGGGTTGCAGGCTTGCAGCAGGTAGATGAGGGAGGGAAGGAGGGGAGGGGGTGGGAAGGGATGAAGTTTTTTTTTTTTTTTTTTTTTCTTCCTCTGGGTTGCAGGCTTGCAGTAGGTAGATGGGGGAGGGATGGAGGGAGGGAAAGGGACGAAATGTTTTGTTTTTTGTTTTTTATTTTTTTTATTATTTTAATATTTTAAAAATATTAAATGATTTTTTTTTAGTTTTTAATAGTATTTTAGTAATATTTTTAATAGAAAGTGGGCTTTGAATCAAGCCACGTCAGCATTTAACTGAGAAATTCACGCCAAGCTAACGGAAGGTATAACATTGGCACAAATTCGTAAGATGAGGTATGAAAATGTTGTGACACCAATAATTAAGGTAGCTTTTTGTACTTTACCTTAAATTCTATTTGCAAACTCATTTGAAGAGCCCACTAGAGACGCTCTAAAGTTTGCCATTCACGTGCCTATGCATCAATCATGGTTATTAAATAGGATTAGTAGTCTCTAAGAAATTGAAGGATTGGGCAATACTAAGAAGGCAGCATTTGTCATGCACAGGTTGGACGTGTAAAATGAGTTTCCAACTTTGAAACCATACCAAAAGTGACTGAAATATAAAGCTAGAAATTATTCCAAGTTTTCAATAACAAAATATTGCAAATTCAATTTCCAATATCGGACTAGGTTTCAAGTTTTAATTTTTAATTATGTCCCCTGCTTGATGAAAAAATTCACTTTAATTGTATTTTTTGTTGTCAAACTTTAATTGAACCCGAATGTTATGAAAATTTGTGTATAGAAAGATGATCTCTCTGCACTCTAGCTAGCATCTATTTTCCATTCCATGGAGTGCCAAGAAGAACAAGAAGCTGAAGAAAATAGCACATAGAGCTCTCTTCATTTTTTTTTTCTTTTAATAGAGCAACTAAAAGTATCTCTATAGTCGTTATCAGATTCTGTTAGACCAATATTGGCAATTCTTGACAAAATGCATGAGTCTGTAATAGCTTAGACTTGTTATATATTTTCAATTGTAATTGTTTAAATCTAGGAGGTCTCTTACTCTTTTGATGAGAAGATGTTACGTGAACAAGATACACATTCAGGTATGTTTGCATGCATGCATCCAATTACATTCATCTATATCTCATGATATTGTATTTGAAATAGGTCTTTTATTAAAACTACTTTCAAGATAAATTGATTGTATTTTCAAAAGACTTATCTGATTGCATCCAACTAAATGGATTGCATGGTTGTCATTGTTTTAAAAAGAAAAAGTTGTTGCCGTGTGTATCTAGGATTTGTGGTTTTAAAAGGATTGTCAATTTAGCTAAAACCTATGATTAGTTATGAAATCTTATCAGTTCAAATTGGTTCCCGTGCATTGAGGATTTATAAGGAAGCTTTGAAATTGTTTCAAAGAGATGCCGCATATGCATGTTTTTCTTGGAAGATAGATTGGCAGCAACTTTGGGTTTTTAAAAGAGAAAACATTACTTTCAGTGCATTAATCTTAAATTAACTTTTCAGTGGCTGCCATCTTGTGGTTTGAATAGCATGTGTTTTTAAAGAGAAAATATTTTTTTTCATGTTGATTTTCATTCGGTTTTTATTGAATATCAATTATGAAAATGTGCCTTGTGATTTTCGTAATTGATTGATTTTTTCAACCAAACACTTCATCATATAAACATTATGCATGATCGAGTTAGTATCTTGCAAAGTTCGAGGAAAAGGTGATTGACGATTGTGTTAGTGTCATGCCACTTCAAATCGAAGACTGAAGAAAGATCGAGTAGCAAAGCGCGAAGACAAAGCTGCCAACTAGTATGATTGTCTAGCTGATGAGTTCTTGTAAGTCTTTATGTATTCTTTCTTTCTTAGTGTTTCCTGGCTTGGTAGCCCGAGGATTTTCCCAGTGGTGGGTTTTGCCTCGTTAAATCCTACATCATGTGCGTACTTGTTATATTTATTTTGACTATTTGTGTAGGGATTAATTTACATAACTGATTAACTTAAACCTTAAATTGCTTTAGCTTTAAGTTGAAATTTAGTTACATTTTTAGATTAAAATTAGTACCCATCCTAGGACTTTCAATTGGCACCAGACCAGGTCACTAAAAATATCTAGTGAGATCCGTGGGTCGTCTAGGATGAATCGGTCTATGGGTTCAGTTTCTTATCCGCCACATTTTGATGGCGACAACTACGCTGCATGGAAGGCAAAGATGAAATCATTTCTCTGGGCGCTTGACGATAGAGTGTGGCTTGTGGTTGAAGAAGGCTGGGAACCTCCAACAGTTGAAGAAACCAAAGGCGAAGGACAGTCTTCTGTTACTATTTCTATGCTTAAGCCTAGAAAGGTATGGAGTGAAGATGAACGCAACTCTAGCACATTCAATCAAAGAGCATTGAATGCGTTGTTCACTGCCGTTTCGCCTGAGCAATTTAACTACATCAGTAAATGCTCAACGGCGAAAGAAGCTTGGGATATTCTTGAAGTTACTCATGAAGGTAACTCCACTGTCAAAGAATCCAAGCTTCAAAATCTCATCATACAATTTGAAAATATCAAAATGCTAGATGATGAGAGTTTTTCTGACTTTTATGCTAAACTTAGTGTAATTGTCAATGGTTGTCACAATCTTGGTGACAGCATTCCAGAACATAGAGTTGTTAAGAAAATTCTAAGGTCTCTTCCTTCTACGTTTCATGCGAAAAGGACAGCTATAGAAGAATCGAAAGATTTAAACACCTACAAGTTGGAACAATTGATTGGGTCATTACAAACATATGAGTCTGACTTTACCGAAGTCAAGAAAGGAAAAAATGTAGCCTTCAAAGTCAATAATGAAACAGTGAATGAGGATTCATTTGAAAACCTGACTCAAGATGAATTTGCTCTTCTCACCAAACAAGCTAGAAAATTTTTGAAACTTAGAAGTTCCAAAGGACGTGAAAATCCAAAATAATTTTGATTCAAATTCCAAAGTTCCTCGTTCTCGAGATTTTTCTCATGGAAATTCTTCTAAGTTTGTCAAACTTGGTGAAAAGAAAAGTTCAAATGACAGAGACAAGTGTTTTGAATGTCAAGGGTATGGACATCATGCTCATGAATGTGCTAATACTCTTAAAAAGCTGAAGGATGAAAAGAACAAGGCGTTAACCTCCACTTGGAGTGACAGCGATTCAGAGAAGGACACGGCATCTGAAGATGATGATGAAGTGGTTGCGTTTGTTGGAATCTTGGATGGATATGAGACTGATGACTCGGTAGTTAAAGAACCTGATTCCATAGAAGTCTTACAAAAGTAAACTGCACTTTATGATATCACCATGAAAGTGAAGAAAGAAAATGATGAACTGAAAAATAAACTTGTGCAGCTTGAAAGCGAGAAGAAGGAAGTAGAGATTGAGCATCAATCTCAAATGGAGCATGCAGAGAAGCTACGAGAGTCAATGTTGGAAAAACTACATATGCTCGTATCTGACAATGAAATTCTTGAAAATGAATTAAGAGGCATGAAAAAGAAGGTCGAAGAGTTTAGTATTGGATCAAGAAAATTTGACAAAATGTTAAGCTATGGAAAAAATTCAGATGATAGAAGTGGTTTAGGTTTTGATTTTAATGTGACTGGAAGTTCTTCCTCCTCTGTTACTAAATTTGTCAAAGCTTTACAAGAACCAAGCAGAAAAGAAAGTAGTGATGAACCCTTTGGAAATTCGTGTACCACTACAAATAAGCCAAATTCTGTGAGCACTTTTGTTGATCCAAGAAATTTCATTAGGTCAAAAACCTTCATTCCTACTTGCCACTTCTGTGGAAAAATAGGACATATCAGACCTAGATGTAACAAACTTCGAAAGGAAGATCGAACTAAGCACACCACCCATTGGATGTCTAGAAAATCAAATCTCAAAATGAGATTTGTTGCTAATCCGAAGCGAATGAATAGGATTTCAAAAAGAATGCTCAATTCCATCACTCCAAACTTAAAACAAGTATGGAGAAGAAAGGAGACTCAAGTTTGCTTATTGGATAAGATGTCACCATCATCTGATGAAGACAATCTTACATGTTTGGTGGCTTTTACTGCCCTCTCAACTTGTCAGTCTGATACTTGGTATCTTGACAGTGGCTGCTCGAGGCATATGACTGGAGACAAAAGATGGTTCACAACCTTCACCGAGGATTGTAAAAATGGAGCAGTCACTTTCGGAGATGGAAAAAGAGCAAGGATTGTTGGAAAAAGAGAAATCAAAACTCTAGGAATTCCATGCTTAAAAGATGTCATGTTAGTTGATGGACTTAAAGCTAACCTAATTAGCATCAGTCAAATTTGTGATGATGATGATGTTGAAGTATTGTTCAATAAATTGAAATGTTGTGTGAAAGTTGCTAGCGGGATAGACATTTTTGAAGGAAAAAGGTCTAAAGACAATTGTTATTGTGTGAATGCAAATGAATCACATGTGCCAAATATATGCAACAAAGCAACTGATGATGTTTTGGATTTATGGCATAAAAGATTAGGCCATATGAATTGTAAGGATATGATCAAGCTTTCCAAGAAGGAATATGTGAGAGGTTTACCAATGTTGGCTGGAGAACTTGGAATTTGTGGAGAATGTCAAGTGGGAAAGCAAACAAAGAGTTCACACAAGTCAACAAACTACATCTCAACCTCACGACCTTTGGAGCTGATGCACATGGACTTGGTTGGACCGGTACAGACCGAAAGTATTGGGGGAAAGAAATATATTCTTGTCTTGGTGGATGATTTCTCACGTTTTACTTGGGTTGCATTCTTGCGTGAGAAATCTGATGCGTTCAAAGCATTTTGTGGCTTGTTGAATAGAATTCAAAATGATAGAGTTGCTTCAAATGATCGTGTGATAAAACTCAGAACCGATCACGGAACTGAATTTGAAAACACATCATTTTCTGAGTTTTGTGATGAAAAAGGAATTGCTCATAATTTTTCTGCTCCAATCACTCCTCAACAAAACGGAGTTGTTGAACGGAAAAATCGTGTGTTGCTTGACATGAGTCGTGTCATGCTGACTAGCGCTCGTTTGACAAGTCATTTTTGGGCTGAAGCAGTCAGCACCGCTTGCTATACTGTAAATAAAGTCTATCTTTGACCTGGTACAAAGTGCACACCATATGAGATTTGGAAAGGAAAGAAACCAAATGTGAAGCATTTGAGAGTGTTTGGAAGTATATGCTACATTTATAGAGATAGGGAAATGTTAGCAAAATTCGATTCACGAAGTGATATTGGAATTTTTCTAGGATACTCTCCCACTAGTAGAGCATATAGAGTGTTCAACAAAAGAACTAAAAATGTCATGGAGTCCATTAATGTTGTTGTGAATGACTCCTCCTTAAGTATTGAACAACCTGCTTCAGATGAAGAATTCCTTCAAAGTAAATTAATCGATGAGTCATCCACTACTCAGGTTGAAGTGCACCAAAATGTTGACTCAACAAAAGCGTTGAGAAAAGGACACAAGCAAGTGCAAAAATATCACTCCAAGTCCGACATTATTGGCAACGTGGAAGATACCATACTAACAAGAAGCAAAACTACTGCTGTAGTAAACTTCACGTGCTACATATCAAAGATTGAGCCAAAAAATGCCAAGGAAGCTCTTTTAGATGATGATTGGATAATGGCCATGCAGGAGGAACTCAATCAATTTGTTAGAAATGATGTATGGTATCTTGTTTCCAGACCCAAAGAAACAAATGTTATAGGAACAAAATGGGTTTTTCGAAACAAAACCGATGAACATGGTATTATAACGAGAAATAAAGCTCGTCTAGTTGCTCAAGGATACACTCAGGTAGAAGGTTTGGATTTTGACGAGACATTTGCTCCCGTTGCGAGATTGGAGTCCATTAGGTTGTTACTTGCTTTTGCATGTCATCTGCGTTTTAAATTATAACAAATGGATGTCAAGAGTGCCTTTTTAAACAGAGTACTTCAAGAAGAAGTATACGTGGAGCAACCAAAGGGGTTTGTTGATCCAAAACATCCTGATCATGTGTATCGATTGAAGAAAGCTTTGTACGGTTTGAAACAAGCTCCTAGAGCATGGTATGAAAAACTCTCAACCCATTTGTTAAAGAAAGGATATACAAGAGGAGCTATTGACAAAACCTTGTTCGTTAAAAGAATAAACAAGGATGTGATGATAGCTCAAGTGTATGTGGATGACATAGTATTTGGCTCAACATCTGACATACTTGTCAAAGAATTCAATGAAGTTATGCAGAACGAATTCGAAATGAGTACGTGTGGGGAATTGAATTTTTTCTTAGGATTACAGGTCAAACAAGTTGAAAACGGTATTCTTGTCTTTCAGACAAAATATGCAAGTGAGCTGGTTAAGAAGTTTGGTTTAGATTAAGCAAAACCAGTCTCCAATCCCATGGCAACAACCACAAAACTTCACAAGGATCCAAATGGAAAAAGTGTTGATCAATCCCTCTATAGGAGTATGATTGGAAGTTTGTTGTATCTTACTGCTAGTAGGCCTGATATCTCTTATAGTGTTGGTGCCTGTGCACGATATCAAGCTGATCCAAAAAAATCGCATTTGGAAGCTGTCAAAAGAATCATCAGGTATGTACGTGGCACGGTTGATTTTGGTTTACATTATTCTTTTGAAACCAATTCTGAAATTGCTGGATTTTCAGACGCCGATTGGGCTGGAAATGCTGATGATCGGAAAAGTACTTCTGGAGGATGTTTCTATGTTGGAAACAATCTTGTCGCTTGGCATAGTAAGAAACAAAATTGCGTTTCCTTATCCACTGCCGAAGCTGAATACATCGCTGCTGGTAACTGTTGTACCCAACTGCTTTGGATGAAGCAAATGATTCGTGATTATGGCATTAATCAAGGCACCTTCTCTATTTTCTGTGACAATACTAGTGCTATAAACATTTCCAAGAATCCAGTTCAACATTCTCGTACCAAACATATTGACATTCGTCACCATTTTATTCGTGTTCTGGTTGAAGAGAAGGTTTTAATATTGGAGTTCATTGCCACTGAACATCAACTTGCAGACTTGTTTACTAAGCCTCTCGACACTCATCGTTTTGAAACTCTTCGAAAGGCATTGGGAATATGTCGTATTCTCTAAACTTCATTGGTTTCCATTTTTTTTTTCCTTTTTTTCTTTTTCTCCCTTAGTTATTAATTTTTTCTTAAACATCAAAGTAAAAGAAGTCCAAGTCTTGTTAGTCTACCAAACTTTTGTCCACTGCATTCTCTGCTTTATGCTATACATAATATGTTTTTGCTTTGGTGGTTGATACTATATGTGTGTTTTCTGATTAAACTTGACTTCTTACCTGCACCTCTGCACCCTGTGAGCTTTTGAGCCTCTAGTTCGTGTATGCATTTTTCATACACTTTTACTCGTTTCTGTGTGCTCTATCTTATGTGATTTTTAACTCTCTAGAACTTGCTTTGCGATCTCTCGAGGCTTTGTATCGCTCTTTACTCTTCTTTTGAGATGAAAATAAGCATTACGATTTTTTTCTTATGCCCCAGTGCTTTATTATTTTTCCGCATTATTGGATTTCTCCTTCAGTTTATCTTCCCTGCTTCACTTCTTATACCCTTGGTCTCCCCACAATCCAAGCCAGTTGAATAAATTTTTTAGGCGAGAGTCCAAGACTGTTTCCCATTGCAGAGCAAAACTTGTGCTGGCAGAATCTTTCCAAGTCAAGAAAAGCTATCTCAAAAAAAAAAAAAAAAAAAAAAAAAAGAGGGTGAAAAATCAAGATTCGTGTGTATAACACATTTGGCAATTGTTTATCTCTGAAGCCACTCAAAGGTATTCTTGTACTTGAAGACCACAAATATATTAAATGTGCAAAGCACTCTCTATTGCTCTAGTGGTTCTCTCTGTCTCCACCTCTCTTCCGTTTTATTTCGACAGGATTCTATAGCTTTGTAGACATCGAAATTTTAGTAAAACAAATGTTCACCAATGCATTAAAGTTTTGACGTGTCAAGGCATACATGGCATACGCCACGTGTTGTACAAATTGTACACATGGCGTGTGACTCAACAAAATAGGAAGAAATACCCTTAAAGGATTAAACAAGTTTTTCTTCTTATTTTGGGCAATGACAAGGCAAGCACATTTCAATCCATTGAGGATCAAAACAAGTTTTTCTTCTCATGTTGGGCAATGACAAGGCAAGCACACTTCAATCCATTACGGATCAAAGCAAGTTTTTCTCATTTGGGCAATGACAAAGCATACACATTTCAAGTTTAAAATGGTGTTAAGTGGGAAATTAGGCCATAAGTTAGACCACTTCAAGTTTAAAATGGTATTAAGTGGGAAATTAGGCCATAAGTTACACCACTTCAATTTCAATATTGCATTAAGTGGGAAAATTAGGCAATGGTGCTTGGAAAGGAAAAAATATTTTTGTGGTGGTGATTCATTCTCAAAGCCTATAAATAGGCTTCTCCATCAAGGTATCAAGCATCAAGGAATTCACAAATACATTTCTCTACTCCAAAATTAGAAGAGGAATTCCCCAAATCCTTGAAGCTTTGAAACTCCAAAGCTTCCAACCATCCAAATTCCCAAGAATTCCGAAGGATCAAGAAAGCTCTCGTCGTTCTTCGTTAAATCCTCTTTCAAGATCAAGTCCCGACGGCCCTTGAAGAAAGTGTTCATCCGTTCATCCTAAGCATAAGCCCCCAACGGCCCTTTGGATCAACAACCTCAACAAATCCACACATCCAATCGTTCTTCAAGATTAAGCCCCAACGCCCCTTGAAGATCCGCTCATCCATCAACCTTCAAGATCAAGCCCAAAAGCCCTTGAAGAAATCCACACAACCATTATTCAAGATCAAGCCCCAACGACCCTTGAAGAAAGCGTTCATCATTCATCATCCGTTCATCCTAAGCTCAAGCCCCAACGGCCCTTTGGATCAACAACCTCAACAAATCCACACATCCAATCGTTCTTCAAGATTAAGCCCAACGCCCCTTGAAGATCCGCTCATCCATCAACCTTCAAGATCAAGTCCAAAAGCCCTTGAAGAAATCCACACAATCATTATTCAAGATCAAGCCCCAACGGCCCTTGAAGAAAGCGTTCATCATTCATCATCCGTTCATCCTAAGCTCAAGCCCCAACGGCCCTTTGGATCAACAACCTCAACAAATCCACACATCCAATCGTTCTTCAAGATTAAGCCCAACGCCCTTGAAGATCCGCTCATCCATCAACCTTCAAGATCAAGCCCAAAAGCCCTTGAAGAAATCCACACAACCATTATTCAAGATCAAGCCCCGACGGCCCTTGAAGAAAGTGTTCATCCGTTTATCAACTGTTCATCCTTAGATCAAGCCCCGACGGCCCTTTGGATCAACAACTCATCCACAAACCTACACCCTACGAAGATAGAATTAGAGGACCAAATTTGAGAGGGATTGTAACCCCAAAATCATTAAACACAAAATATTATTTTGTACACGTTATTCTTGTTTCTTGTTTCAAGGAACTTTTCGTGTTCACAAATTTGGCACGCCCAGTGGGACATCTCTACCTCTCATCTCTATCCTCAAATCATCGAAAAACACAAATGGCATCAAGAAAGGATCAAGCTGTTCCTGCAATCAAAGCAAAGAACAAGAACATCATCGCCGCAAGTGGTGATATTTCGGGCACCATAACCCGAAGTAAGGCAAGAGCTCTTTTTGCCGCGGCTTCCGCCCCTGCATTAACTCTGTCAAAGGAACAAGAGCACCTGAGGCACGAGCCTGTGATCACCCTAGCCTCGCTAAGGGCATCAAGAGGGGAAAGCCTGAGGAAATACTCAGAGTCCCTACTCTCCGACGCTGATTCGAGCGGCAGTACAACCATGCAAGTCATGACCACTGGAGTAACTTCAATCGAGGAGCAGCTAGCTCAGATGAATGAAGCAATCGCAAAGCTCACACGGACTGTAGAGGAGAAAAACTTGCAAACCGCCGGACTCATCAACTGTCTGGAGGCACAGCATGGCGTCAAAATGAAACCAAGCTCTCTTCCAACTAAGAAGACCGAAGAAGGCTTTAACCCAAATGCCTACGAACTCATGTCAAAGGCTAGGCATGACTTTGCTTCCTCTTCAAATCTTGGAAAGAAGGTTTCAAACACCGTCAATGACAAAGAACGTAACCTCACCAAAACTCAAAAGAAGTTGAAGGAGCATGGTTACAGAGTTGACAACAACAAAGCCGGACTTGGCTTCACACCAAATGCACCCGTGAAGATTTCAAGCAAAGTGAAGAAAGCTAGCGCTCAACACATCAGCGTGAGCATTGAACAAGACCAAAAAGAGCCTAAACCCGCCCCTCGGACATCGGTCTTCGATAGGATGAGCCATTCAAGCTCCAGAATTTCAGTGCTTATTCGCATTGGTAGTCAAGGCCGAACCTCTGTCTTCAAGAGGCTTAACGCGCTAACATCCCAAAGCTCTGTTTTTGAAAGGTTGTTAAAGCCTAAGAAACAAAGCAACACAGCTATCTCTCATCTGCGACGATCAGCTTCGGAAAGATTTGAAGATAATGAGAAGCCTTTTGGAAAGAGGAAAACAACACCAAAGGAAGAAAAGTTCGATGGGTTAGCAGAAAAAGGCGACGTTCGAAGCTTGATTCCTTCAAGGATGAAGCGCCAAGCAATCCTAGAGGTCGACACAAAAGGACCATTGAAAGTAAGGAGGCGCATCATCGTCCACACTGGCAAATCTTCATGCCAACAAACCCAAGAGGACGGCACTGAAGATAAAATCCCTAAGGAAGATGTCACTTCTGGCTCTTTCGACTCAAAGTCTTTACCTCGACTGTTGGGGGCATGCTCCAAGTCAAGTGAAATTGAAGGATGGACTCATGTCACTCCGAAGAAACTGCACGAGAAACATATGTCTTCTCCACAAGTGCACCAATCAGAAAGGAGGGAAAGCAGCTTTCGCCAACCTCCAAAGCAATGTGAAAATGTTGAAGATAAGAAAATTTCAACACAAAGATCGTTTATGCGCGATCTCTTCTTCATCGAAGACTTATTCAATTTCTCGATCAAGACTCCTTGCTATGAAGATTGTGAGGAATGCCTTTCGAAGATCGCTTGGAAGAAATTGGACAAGCAGCAACCATCTTGTCCACAAGCTCCTTGTCTGCACGAGCTGAAACTGCAAACGACACCACAAGCTCCTCGTTCGCACGAGCCTAAAAGGTGATAACCAAACGCTCCTTGCCTGCACGAGCTGAAACTGCAAACGGCACCAAACGCTCCTTGCCTGCACGAGCTGAAATTGCAAACGGCACCAAACGCTCCTTGCCAATCATTGAAATCATGGTGGATGCAACCACTGGCCATGAGGCATTATCATTCATGGATGGCTCTTCTGGGTACAATCAAATTCGCATGGCCCTCGAAGACGATGAACTAACAGCCTTTCGTACTCCAAAAGGTATCTACTGCTACAAGGTGATGCCCTTTGGTCTAAAGAACGCTGGAGCTACGTATCAACGCGCAATGCAGAAAATCTTCAATGACATGCTACACAAAAACGTAGAATGTTACGTAGATGATGTGGTGGTTAAGACGAAGAAAAGATCAGACCACTTGAAGGATCTGCGAATAGTGTTCGAAAGGTTGCGAAAATACAACCTCAAGATGAACCCGTTAAAGTGTGCGTTTGGCGTCACCTCTGGAAAATTCCTTGGCTTCATCGTCAAGCACCGTGGTATTGAAGTAGACCAATCAAAGATCAAGGCCATTCAAAGCATGCCCGAGCCAAGAAACCTGCACGAGCTGAAAAGTCTACAAGGACGGCTAGCCTTCATCAGACGTTTCATCTCCAACCTCGCAGGGCGTTGTCAACCGTTTAGTCGCCTTATGAAGAAAGATGTTTCATTCGTATGAGACAAAGCATGCCATAATGCTTTTGAAAGCATAAAGAAATATTTGTCAAGTCCACCTGTCCTGGGGGCACCTGTGCCCGGGAAACCACTCATATTGTATATCGCTGCTCAGGAAAGTTCAATCGGAGCACTCTTGGCGCAAGAGAATGAATCCCAAAAAGAAGGAGCACTTTACTACCTCAGTCGAACTCTCACCGGC